TGGATGCTCACCTTGTAACCCCAATTCACCAAGCACTATCGGTGCCTGAATGCACATTTTTATTTACTGTTAGTGCAGCCAAGCAGTGCTATTCTAATTGCAGCAGGCTGAGGGATGGGAAAAACAAAGATGACAGATCTAGTCCTCAAACAACACATTTATACCAAGCGAAGACCAAATGACATCACAGCATGCAGCAGAAACAAAGGTCTCAGTAGTCTGACGAGTGTAACAGGCCAACATCAAACTCCGAACAGTCTGTACATATTCATGTTGAACTTTGATGTGTAGTTTTGGCAAACATTCTTTGTGTCATAAATGTTGCTATCTTACATTTTATCCATTTTACAATTTTGTTTGTAATGAATTTGGAAATTGTTTTAAACGGTTGTATGTACAAAAGTTTATATTTCGTTTTATAGTGGGATATATTTAAGTTGCATTATAATTAAAGTAGTTTATGTCAATGCTGGGAATCCGTGAGAACATTTTGCCTCCAAAAGGAAACACTGCCAAAGAAAATGGAGAGTCACTGAAAAGGCTGAGCCAGACCACACAGGATAACAGGGGTGGTTTCAGGAAGGTGAGTAATGGAATCATGACGGGCACGCAGGTCTGAAGAAAGGAACGAAGGATAGAAAGAATAACAAAGGCCCTTGGAATCATCCAGCATGCTGACTGGACTCGGATGGCAGCAGAAGAGGAAGAAGGATCAGAAAACATTTCCAAATAAGAAGCAACAGGGCTAAACTTGACACGGAGCGTGACGACGAAGGAGTTTGAGTCTAAGTGACTGACTGGAAGAATGAGGCACCAGTAAGAAGAAAACAAGTAATGAAACCAAATTAAGAAAAAAGACACTGAATTATTTTGGACCTGGAAACAGCTCAGCATTTGAGGAAACAGCATTTCCAATGGCTGAAAAAAGTAACTGAGGAATGAGTGAATGAACTCCCTATACAAAACTGGGAGTTTGAGGCATGGCTGCCGCCCAACAGACAGAGAAATATCATGAGGGGTGCAGAGAGGTTAGAGCTGAAATGATGAGAA